TGATGGTATATGGAGGGGATTATAATCAATGTAATGAAACAAGTTATATGAATTGTTGAATGTGAAACTGATGATGTGCCCTGTAAAACTGCACTCAATCTACAATAAAAACCTTAAATTAAAAAAAAAAATGTTTTTTAATTACATAAACCAAAGAAACATAGGAAAGTACATATGAGGCAGATTATGCAAAAAGAACTTCATATAAAACTGTAACTGCAATGACCATAAAGACCACAGAAGTCAACACAAAGGCAAAAATAATATGTTGCAGTTGGAACTATAAAGAAATGTAAACACTCCTTAGCTTATCAGAAATGTGGAATAAGTAATAATTTCTAAAAGTTTTAAACCCTGAAATCATATGCTCTTTGAAGTACAATAACACTTTTAAAAACTGGTTTGGTAAGAGTAAGAGTATTGTCAAAAAAGGCTTAATAGCAAAATTTTAAACTTAATAAGTTTTTAGTAAGCAATGTTAAATTAATATAATGACATAAGAAACACAGGAGATAAACATCACACACATAATCTTATTAAATAAGCTATTTTCTAGAAAAAAATGCAAATATCAAAATTTTCAAATACATTACTAGCAAGGAAAAGTGAACCAAAATCTAAAAGGGTACATAATTTAACTCGGAAAAGACAACTTGTACAAGTTTAATACAATAGACTTCCAAAAACCAGTGCAGGTGCAACTAAAACAGCAGCGCTTAGAATCTGCCAGAATATTGCTCTGATGTTATATTGACCTGAGTGCCCTGACAACAAGAAGGGAACAAACCCTTTTCATTCCTATTTTTGTTCATCAAAATCATACTTAAAAGTTACCTTACCCTTGCTAATAGTCCAGATTCTGCAACACACTGCTCTTCTGGGACTGCCACTGGCTTGCTCTGCTCAGTTGCAAAGGGCTGGTCAGCTCCATTTTTATAGTGGTTTGATAAAGGTATCTTTGGTTCTAACCACTCAATTGTCGTTCCTGGTGAGGTAAGAGAAAACTTTTGCTGAAACTTGCTCATAATCTGGAAAGTGCAGCAGATGTGGATTTTATTAAACAATTTTGTTTTGAGCCTGCAAGACTAAAAACAATTCAACCTGTAAGTGGCCCTGCAAAACAACCACTTGTATCTCATTACCATGAGCACAATGATTGGGCAACATTTTACAACAGACCAACTGCAACTTGAAATCAGATACCATTTATAAGAATCAGCCCTGAATAGCACAGAACTCACTTCCTTAGGCAAGCCCCATATTAACAATTGATTTACTGACCTTTCCCTATGAAGCCTACCTCTTGTGATCAAAAGAAAAGTATATTATCAGGCTTCTTGTAGTTGTTAAGTGCAGTTGAGTCAGTTTCGACTCATAGCGACCCTATACAGTGTTTCCAAAGAGCAGCTGGTGGGTTTGAACCACTGATCCTGTGATTAGCAGTTCAGTGTTTAACCTACAGAATCATACCAGGACTCCAATTAGCCTTTACATGGTCATAATTGTAGGAGGAATCTGGGACAGTAAAATGTGCTTTAAGTTAGGATTGAACCTTACTATAAGCAGCAATTTTCTAACTGATCAAGATGTAAACATGATCTAATTTTAAAAATCACAAAATCATGTCCATTTGTCTCCTTTTTAATGATATAAAAAATACTGTATATGTTCAATCTGAACGGCTCTTCTACTTAATAAATAATAGCTGACCTAGTGAAAGACTGGTCACATTTGCAGACCTGTCATCTTCTCAGTTAATGACTCAAATGTCTCTTATTACCCTCAACTAGCTTAACAAAGTGGATTCTATACCTTATCAATAATGGAAAATGTTCCATTTGATTGCAGAGGCTGATGTAGGTTTGGTTATAGAGTGCTACAATGAGGGATGCCCAGGCTGCTACCGCAGGAGTTCAATGAGGAAGGAAGTTACCCAGCCCCAGACTTCTGAAGAGGAATAAATTACAAAATACCTACCAGGCTACCACAGCATCTTGCCTTGCCACTAGGTTCAATCTCACTTAGTATTGGGAGATTCATGGTTAGGGACAATCTGGGGCATGTTTTAAAACTCCTAAGAAATGAAAAAAACTCTGCTCCTACTTTGAGCCTTTGAATAGCACATACTTTTAGACCTCATGGGACTAAACATAATTTGAAATTTGACTTCATTTCTCATGTCCCCCATCATTGGTGAAGGTAACTTAGCTTTTCTTTCCACAGCAGTTACATTTTCATCCTCAAGTGACTTTAAGAATCAACTTCTTCAGATCTGATTCCGAAAACACGGCTAGAGAGAAACACTAACAACAATTCACTAATTTCCTCAAACCACATATCTGTGTTCCAAAAAATAATGTGGGAAAACAACTTCCACTTTAGACTTTCCTGTAGGTTTTCCAATGTGTTTTACTTTTATAAAGAAACAATGCAAATTTATACTGTACATGCTTCATTAATCATGAAGCAACCATTTAAAAATCAGACTGCTTTAACTTTACACAAAAGACATTTTGGACCCCAATATTTTTAAATTACGTTTTTAAATTAATCAAATATTTTCTGAGTGTCTAAAATTGAGTACTGCTTAACTGAATTACTTTTTAGAAACTGAGCAGCACAAACAGGAAAGAAATGCTCTGTATAATTTTCTTTTTTTTTTAAATTAAATGTTTTTATTTTGCATTGAGTGAAAGTTTACAGGGCACATCATCAG